AAACTGGAAGAGTCAAGTTTTACCTACAATAGAGGACTGGAGAGTGAAGGTCTCGCATCTTGCTGAAATGGCAAAGATTTCGGCTTATTTGAAGGATCACTCAAATGAACAATTTTTATCAATATGGAGAAGATGGATTGTTTATATTCAAAATAAGCATAGAATGGTGGAATATAGGTTAGGTTTTTAGATAAAAAAACTTTTTCTTTTTATACATATACATATATTTCACCTACTTATGTAGAATTATATTTTGTGGAGTTAGGGATATTAATATAAGGTTACTTTTAGATGAATAATATCCTGGGATCAGGTTTGGGAAGTCCGGGTGGGGGGTGGGGGGGGGTTTCAATTGTGATGTACCTGTGATGTGTTTTTTTTCTTATGTTGAAAATAATAAAAAAAAAAATTTTTGAAAAAAAAAAAAAAAAGAAATTAGGGTATAAATACTAGTTTGTAAATATTTATTAGTTAAGATAGTTAGCTCTGAATGCCATCAAACATCTGGGAGGGGGGAAATTATTAGATATTAGATACAGCAAAAATTGTGCCGAATGCCTACTGATAAAACTGTGATTGATCTTTTGCCCATACAGGTAGTCCTCAATTTATGACCACAGTTGGGGCCAGAATTTCAGTCACTAAATGATGCAGTTGTGAGTCGTCATGACTGAATTGATTTTATGTCCACGTTTACTGCAATTGTTAAGCAAATCATATGGTTTTCAAATGAATCTGGCTTCCCCAATTGATGTTCCTTGTCAGAAACTGGCTGATCTTGCAAACTGCTATCACATGATCACGGGATTCTGCAGTTGGTAGTGAATGCAAACTGGTTGCCAAATGCCTGAATTATTACCACATGATCTTGAGGATAGTATAATGGTCATAACTTCGAGGACAAGTCAGAAATCGCTTTTTTTGAGACTGTTGTTAAACTGCATAAGTGGAAGACTACCTGCAGATGATTGAGAATGTGGTCCAACGATCTTTTCATAAAAATGAGCTATTTGTGCATCACAAATGATTTATAATTTTAGATGTATCCAAAGTTTGGAGTGGAGAAACCAGTCAATAAATCTCATTCTTTCTTCTCTCCCTTCCTCCTTGGTAAAGTTGGATTACCAACTTTATTGATTATGTTACATCTATCCTAATTATATAAAGTAACCTTGCTTATACCAGTTTAATTTTATACCAACCTGGAAAGGCTCTGTGCTCATAGCGTATCTTTGGTCTGCCCATTGATTGCTACTAAATTCAGATGGAGGTATATGCACTTCTGATTCACAGTGTACAAAATTTGAAAGAATGGGTATAGCGTTTGTAGATAGTATCCAAACAGGAACTACAATTTGCTCAATAAAAGACTTTTAAGTAAATCAGAAAATTTTTTTATAGAGGTAAAAAGAGGGAAGGGAGCACTATTTTATAGAGATGAAAAATAAAGGAAGGGAGCAGTATATAACAGAATATCCCTTTACAATTGTCTTCAGTTCAGCTAATAGTACCATAAATAAATTTGCTTAATTATGTACAAAAGGTATCAACAACAGGTGAAGGAAGTACTTGGGTATTTGAATGGATTATTAATGAAAAGATTAATAAAACAATTAGTTGTTTTGTTGATTGTAAGATGCAATACTTTAGCTATAGCATATTTTGTTTACAAAAGAATAAAGAAAACTCCGTCAAATCTCTATTTATTTATTAGATTTTTATCCTGCTTTATTTCTTTATAAGAAACCCAAGGTGGCAAACATACTTAATTTTCCTTCCTCCTCCTATTTTCCCCACAACAACAGCCCTGTGAGGCGGGTTGGGCTGAAAGAGTGACTGGCTTGAAGTCACCCAACCGGCGTTCATGGATGAGGCAAGGCTAGAATTCACAGTCCCCTGGTTTCAAGGCCAGCATTTTAACCACTGGATTTTTTCCCTTGTTGAGGCATCACAGTTGTAATATTTATTCCAAATGTGATAATTGTTCTGGGAAACATAATCGTGAATATTGTGAACTCCCTGAAGTAACTCTCATCCCCCTTCCCAATCATTTTCCTTTCTGCGCCACGGGGAGAAACCTGTTATGTGGGATATGTGTGTGTTGTGAGAAGATTGTGTATTGTTTGATGTGCATTGAATACTTGAAAAATTTTCAAAGTAAGTCTAGAGTTGCTATTACAAGCACTACTAATTATTCTAACACGTTACTCAAAGATGTTTCTGTAGTTTAAAAAAATGCTTTTGAATTTGGTTGATTGAGTGGTCACTATGATCTCGATATTTGCTTTATCTTTTTGTCTTTCAGCAATGGGTTGATGGACTCAGATCAGTGATGGGTAACTTCAGAGCCAACAATGTCTGTCCCACGACATGCCTCAAGAAACAGTAAGCTTCCCCCCCCTCACCTCATCAATTACGATTTTGTCCCTTCTGCATGTTCCTTGACGTGCATTTAGAAACAATTCACTTTCCTTATTTGGCACAACAAGAAATAAATATCTGGATAAGCTGCAGAAGACATTTCCCAACAATTCAAACATCCATGAAAAATATGGTATTAAATTATTCTTCATATTTTTTTCCACAAATAAAATATGTTCCCAAAGTCAAACACGCATTTAGGAGTTGAGGGCGTTTAGTGCTGGATTTTATGATCTGTTCAGAGAGGCAGTTGTAATTATTAGCCTTGCCTGAACTTTTCTTTGTTCAGGAGGGAGAACTGCTGCCCACTTACATACAAATGTTTTTATTTCATATGGATCCAGAACTGAATTATTCTTGATGAGATTTCCCACAGAATATTCTGAAACAGGAGGAAAATGCAGCTGAGACCAAATAATGTAGTGTAATCTTCCTACCCTGCTCAGATTATCATGAAGTATATTTATACGCTCCCCACTTTGTAAACCCTCTTTTCCATTTCTTCAAAAGGAATCCTAAAAGATTTAGCAGCAACAAGTTCGAAAAGGTTCTTCTAGTCCTTCCCACTTTGCTTAAATGGTATTTCCCCTCAGAAACTGTTGTTGCTCTCCAAGCAGTAGAAGGTACAATTCCTTAATGTCTATGGAAATTCTCAGTCATCCAGGTCATGGTTGTCCCAAAGGTATTTTATTCAAAAAGCAACTGGACATTTCTTTGTTTTTTTTCCTTGAAGATGGTTCATTTCTCATCCAGAACTAAAGAAGCTTCTTGGATGAGAAAACAAAACAAAACAATTGTCTTTTGAAAAAGCACCTTTGGGAGTACAAGTCCTCAGGATACATAAGAGTCTTTAAAAGACATTTAGAGAAGAAGCATCTGAGAAGAAGGTTCAAGAACCTCTTTACTCACTCTTTCAGCCCTCTGTTCACTCTGAAACTACTTGGAATATTTTTGTCTGATGTAAGAAGAACCCTTGGGGGAGTTAATCAAGCCACATGTATTATGTGGTTCCAACGTCATGGTCGTTTCTACATTCCAAAATGTTAGGCTGAATGACTTGCCACCGAGCATCTCTGCTATGGATGACAGGGATTATTGTAGAATATATCTGGAAAACAAATTGTAGAAGTTGAAGTAAGTGTTGAATATGCAAACACACTAACAGTCCCCCCCCCCCCTACATCACTGTTCCTGTAGCTTTTAGCACCCTTTCAGCAAAACTTTCCATAGTGCAGAAATTCCTGCCTTTCTTCATTCAAAGGACTTAAGCGTATCTCACATTACTCACATTGCTCAGGGAAAATGGAAAAGTTAACGTATTTGCTCTCTGGAGAGCAAAAACATGTACGGAATAGCCAGCATTGCCTCTTCTCACTCATAATATGTAGCATACAGATATTCAGACAAATGTTATTAAAAGTGCTTCAGTAGTTGCCTTATTTCCTGGATGCTAAAAACATTTCAGCTGAAGCTTCTCATCCACTACTGCTGAATTAAATATTGTAGCATGACTGTAAAGGAAAGCATTAAAGAAGGTATGATAACAGAATGATAGTAGTCAGAGGAAATCGTCTCCCTCTTTTTCCTACTTGTGTGTGTATTTATGCTGCTAAGATTTTACCCGTATCCAAGTTTGGAGCACTTTGATTCAATTAGAACTTTTAGAACAATGTCTATAGTAGTGATGGCGAACCTTTTAGAGACCGAGTGCCTAAACTGCAACCCAAAACCCACTTATGCATCGTCGAGTGCCGGGTGGGTGTGGCCCATGGGCTGGGCATGGCCCATTGGCTGGGCATGGCTGCGGTGATAACGGCAGACTGGGTGGGACTAAAAAGTTCAATCAATCAATTCCAACTTTGCAAGATCTTTTTTTCCCCGCGAGAAGTTGAAATTGATTGATTGATTGATTGAACCTAAAGGGTTTTATAAAACCTAGCTGAAGGCCTAGGACTGGGGCGACAGCGCACGTGCCCACAGAGAGGGCTCTGAGTGCCGCCTCTGGCACCCGTGCCATAGGTTCGCCACCACTGGTCTATAGGCTGCTTGTGGCTCTCCACTGTCAATTCGTGTCCTCCAATATCCCAAGGATATGTTACAAACATGCAGAGCCAGGAAGCACAATTTTCAAAAGTGGTTTTCTGGTGTTCATCCCCATGCATGGCCTCCTTCCCCAACAAGAAGACTAAGAGACAGAGTGACCTGTGGCCCCTTAAACATTGTTTATCCCAGTTTTAGAAGCCCAAGGTCATGGCTCAGCTGCAACTGACTTTCATTAGTCTGAGGTTTTTTTGGCCCAAGTTTGAGAAAGCTGCATCTCATCTTCTCTGATCAAACTGAGTTTACTTCAAGCCCCCTTTAAGGCTTCTTTACAGATAGTAGGAAAGAGTTGTAGTTAGTCTTATGGGTGAGAAGTAGCAATTTGTCTTTTATAAAATGCAAGGATACAAGAAGGTTAACATTTGAACATTTGACTCAGCTCTTGCATAACTCTATATGTAAACTATGTGAACTTTTAAAGCCCCACTTTTATACTTTAGAATAAAAGATCCCAGAGATAGCTTTTGTCTTATTCTCTTTCCACATTTCATCTTATAAATTGAGCTTTTATTGGATTTTTTTGGGGGGAAAGTCTAAATGGGTTGTTTTTTTTTCCCTTCTAGCTGGATGAAATTGGCATTTCTGACTAATACTAATGGCAAAATTCCAGTTAGAAGGTAAGTATATTGCAAGCTTCAAGTGTGGGGTTATGCAGGGATTGTATGGTTGTGAAATTAAAATGAATAACAATCACAAGTCAGAAAGTCCATTAGAAGCAATCAATGTACTTTAGGAATCTGTTGATTAAGGTAAAAGGGATGCTATAATCTAGGATCTATGATTCAACAATATTTTTAGAAGCCTTTGACTTTCTATCCTGATTGGACGTTGTTCTCAAGTCAATAGTGAAATAAACAGTGCAGATACTGTATAACCCTGCTAGAGAAACCTCAGTTATTTTGGGGATAGAATTGAAATATAATAGAAATAACATAATCATTTAGCCCTCTAAAACAATTTGCTAGATTTGGGAAATTATTAATCCTGAATATTCAGAATAGGTCACCTGGTTCTTCCAAATGTTTAAACTGCAAGTCTCACATCCTTTTTTATTTTCCATGCTGGCTTAGATACTATATAGCATTCAAATAGCATCCAGATGCTTACCCCTGTTATAGAGTTAAGCACTGCAAATTGCTAAAATTATGACTCAAAGGAGTTATCTGAAGTGTTTGCTCAGGATATTATTTAATTTGCTACTGATAATTCTAGAAATTACTGCAGTAATTGTAGATTTATAATAATGGTGGTAACCTGCAGTTCTCCAAATCTTGCTGCTGCAGCTCTCAGCAGCTGTAGCAGTTTAGATAATCTTTGATCTAAAAAGTCAAATAGTGCAATTTAGCTGTAAATTGTATAAATGCAGAGTGCTCATGCGGCTTGATATTCAGTTCAATGATGTCACAGCTATATAGTGTAATCCATTTTTAAATATTCCAGACAAAATATGTGATAAATCTTTTTCAACTTTCTCCAAGTTATAGCTCACCAGATACATTAAGTTACAGGCTCAAAACTATTCTGAAGGGAAGATTATTCTGCAAAATAGTAGCATATTGTTGTACATGCTGGGGAAAAAATCAGACACTATCCTAGTGATGTGCTGCCTTTGAGGTTCCCACTGCTATACCCAGGGCTTTTTTTCAGCCGGAACGC